TTTATCGAGCTGATATTTTTCTAGGAGAAAATATATCGTCTGTAATAAAATAGGATATGCATAGATATAATATTGACACTTGTCATGAAATCCGTCGTAATTTGTCTTTTGAGTTAAAACGATGACGATACTCAGGCTGCAGATAGAATTAGCTCTATCAATTTATTTGAAAGTACCCAGAAGTAAAAAAAAAGAAGATAATAAAAGTGAAATTGGTTACCTACCCCCTTACCTACAGCCTTCAAACTACCAGTCCCTAAAGGCTGAATGCCTGACGGGGATCATTTATCAAGTGAACAAAAACCTTGGAAATAATTACTAGGGGTGTTCTGGCTCGTAACGGCGACTCTACCCCTATACGCTTATAATTCCCTCCTATCCCACGCCCCCCATTGTAATACGTTTAAGGATGCTTTGAATTTCTGTAATTCGATAAACATCTTGATAAAGTCTCGCCGAAATGGTTGTTGCATAGTCCCGTTAATTAACCATTTTACAATGTAAAGCAACGTATCCCATAATAAGCTGTACCCAACCTAAAGAGGATTTAAAGGTGGTAGGGCCGAAGAAAGCTCGTTGTGAAAGCTAAACGAACGAGGGGATGTTAAAGCTGCTACGAAAGTACGTTAAGGGGGTTTGGTTGGGTGAGATTTTAAAAAAGATAATCTCAAATGGACGGGTCCTCGCGAAGGTTGAAATTGTGATCTCTACGCCGATAGCAGAGACAACCGAGGTAACGTTTCATCGTTAAGTCCCGTTAAAACCACGCCATTCTGCACTTGCAAGCACAAGTAGCTTACTTTCTATAGCCCGAGGATATATATGTCTATAGGAGATGATTTTTTTTATATCTCGGCGAGAATCAAAGCGATAGTGGTGGTACGTTAACGTTGCGTAATTGAAGATGAAAAAAGAATGAGCTTTTTTACTAAAACGCTTCCCGGCCCTACGTTGGACGCTCCGACTGGCGAGCTTTCGCAAGTGCTTTCAAGCCAGTTCAACGTTCCTCGCGTGAATGCACAAAGAAAAGAATTCGGGTAACATGGGGTTTCGAGGGAGTCCCTTTTTTCGCGAGGCAGAGGAATAATGAAAAATAAGAGAGAAAGGGGAATAAAGTAAAAGGGGAGTCAAAGATGGAAAAAAAAATAAAGAAAGAAAAAAGAAAGAAAGAATACCCGATGAAGTTAAGAAACCATAAAGAATGAACGAAAGTAACTAAAGGACCAGAAAGGTTGTGCGGGGTAGGAGGCCGAGTTGCGGGTATTGTATAATATTCAAATTCGTAAGAAAAGCTCACGAAAAAATTTACATATCAAGTGACCACCCTGTAGAGAAATTAAGGATTAATTCGAACTCGTTAAGCCATTGCTTCCCCTAATCTCTTAATGTTTTCACCTAACGAAGATCGTTTCTTAATACACAAAGTGGTTAACACGAATACGATATTATCACGAGAAGGTACCTCCGTCGGAAGCTTTCAAAAATTCTTCTTTGGATCGTCCATCTACTTTCTTGTACCATCTCGGTCTTTTACCTCGCAAGTACAAGAAGCTTTAACGAGGTGGCGCCCTTTGGGCAAAGCTCCGTGGTTTCCGATTCTGTTCGTATTGCTCGCCGAGAATGCGAGATACGTTTCCGTGCTTTTCGTTTCACTTGGAGCGACTTGACTACCCGGTGGTCTCAATTTTCGAGACTGCTCGTAAAAAGCTCGCGACATGGATTCGCACTCTGCCTGCAAGCATTGCTCTGCCTTTATACTTACATTGAGACGTAAGAGACTGGTACAGTCACGTGGATAGATCAAACTTTTGTCGATTGCTAAAAAAAGCTAAAAAAGCTCACTCGTTCACGTCGATGCACGGAATTTCGAAGATGCGTATAAATTTTTCAAAAGCACTTCCAAGTTTACGTACGAAGCTTTATAATTATTCGCGAGTGGTCTGTGTTCTGATTGGTCCTTTGAAATTGCATAGTCAATTGCGTAGTAAATCCCATTGGCGTGGAGCGCAGTACCCATTTTCTTATGAGTTAAGCACGTTTCGCGGCCTTTACGGCACGGACGCTCTCGATGCGCCTGACGAAATTTATGCCCGGACGAAAATGCCAGGCTGCACATTTTTATTTTACGACGAGCCAAAAAGCTCTCGGTTTACGTCGCTCCTGTTTTGGTCTCTTTTGCAGACTGAACCGAAGGACTTGGCGAAACCAGCCGTGACTATTTTTTTTATTTATGCATCTAATAACATCGGCTGCTTTTGACTTTGAGGGCAGGATAAAATTTCAAAGTGGATAACGTAACGTAATTATATTTTGTTTCTTTTTCATTCTTTGCAGGCAATCTCAATTCAATGGAATTACTAATATTGCTTCTTTTTTTTCCCTTAACGTTCATGCCTCCGAGCACTTGATTGCGTCAGAGGTAATTAGATTGAATAACGTATCAAAGCCAAATGAGAAATACACTGCTTATACTGATCGCTCTGAAAATATCGAATTTACCCACGAAACGCTTCGCGTCGCCATCTACAATGTTTTTGCGGAAGTATAGCCGCTCGAGAGATTCTCAAAGCTCCTACGAGATGGCGCGAGCTTGCGGCTTTTGAATGAAAGCTCTCTGACCCCCCTCGCTCCAGGCAAAAGGAACATTTCAAAGTCACTTCGGCGTGCCCCCTCCTCGACGAAGGGGAAACCCTCCCCTCGTGGCATTTCGTGCGTAGCCAGAGATAAATTTTTGGCCCGCGGCCAATGAGCGTTGATTTATGCTGCAGTTATTATGCAATATATTTCTCGTATAATTTACGCGCTTAATGCCGACTCTCTGGTATTTCTAATTCTCGAGGATTCCCACACAAGAAATTCACTTCGTACGCACTTGGCATAATAGAGATTCCCTCTACCGTTCTTCTCTGGGCACTTTAAAAGGAATTCATAAACAAAACTTCAAAGTTTGGCATTTTACAAAATTCGAATCTCTATAAAATATTTTGTATCGTGCAACTTTCTTATCGTGCAGGTATCTTTTAAAAAAATTTCAAATTCCAGCCCCTTTCTTTTATCTGACATTTCCGTCACGATTCCGCAAACCTCTCTGAAGGACAGTTTTAACGGTGGGGTGCCGGATGCCAACGTGTATTTTTGCCCGATCGTTTTACGGTCGTCGAATGACTTCGGGTTGGTCGTAAGAGTGTGAATTTATAAGACAGTTCGGGTGAGGATGATTTATAACGGAAGTTCCGTTACGAACCGGCGCACGCAAGGAGTAAGAATATCAGCTCTGAGTTCCGATACATCAATGTTATCTGGCGGATATCGATCGAACCGCTTTTCAATTTTCATGCAAATTTCGAAACGCCCCTCTCCAAAGCCCTTTGCAAAACGACGCCGTCTGGTTCCTGTTTATATTTTAACCGACGGGAGACTATTTTTTTTTTGGCTTTGAACACACTCACGCTTCCATCGCGCTCACAGAGAAAATAAATATTTCATATTAGCGTTATAAATTTTTATTTATCTCAAAATATTAAGGCCACGTGGATTAAACAATCCCGTTGGTACAGAGGTGTTTTTGGAGTTGGCATTCAAAAAAATGGCTTATATAAATGAGAGGCTAATTTATTATATACTTCACGTAGGTTTAATAATGACGTTGGTGTTCGTTTAAAAAAAAAATAATCTTTTTAAATAAATAGTATTTCTTCTCCTTGTATAGTTAGGCACGTGTATTTTTTTTTTCATTTTATTTATATAAAGTTTGATCAAATAATAAAATTTTGAAATATTCCAAAAAATTATTAAGCATATCCTGCCATTATCTTTGTTCGTAAAACGGTAAAGAAACTTTCGAGTGAGTCAGCTCTTTGGAATAACGCTACAGAGAAAGTTGAAAAAGTTTTTTTGAGCTCCGAGAAGGTTATTTGAGGTGGTTTATGAAAATCGCGAATTGTGTCTCGGGGAGAAATGAGATTTCAGAAAGTACAGTGAAAAGTTGGAAGGAACTGAGAGTAAGACGAGGGGTAAGAGAAAAAATGACATATCCTCTTCATTAAATCTCTTGGAATATATCCGAATTATCGAAAACGATTTTACCATTTGGATTTGGATGATCAAACTTTTATTTTCTATTTAAAACGCGAGCGGCGCCATCTTCTGAGAAATATTTAAACTTTCGTAAAGAAGTACGTCATTCATCCGTTAGATTCGTCCCTTAAAATTATTTTTTAATTTTAATAAAATCAAATTTCAAGTACCGTGGTTTACGTGTACGTCAAAAGAATCAGATATCAAATATATATATATGTGAAGTGGAAGTATCGGAAGAAATTAAATGGCTGCCACCTACGTGACAAATAACGAACGACATTTCATCGAGATTGCCTGACATTCCTCGCAAGTGATATTATCCGATTATTCGACGGTGGTAGAAATTTATACGTTAATATTGAAAACTCATAGCTGCTGCCTCGGCGAAGACATAAATCTTCAAACTGACCTCAGTCAAGTGAGCGCACGCGCTTCGGGTTCGTGGCTACTGCCGCCAGTAATTCCACGGGTGACGTAAATCAAAAGTTCCATAAAAAAGTTCCCGGCTACCAGAGCACAGTGGATTCTTGGGCCGCGCGCGAAATATAATTCAAATAATAATAAGGAACGCGAAAAAGGTTGACAGTCGTAGAATCGAAAGTCCCTGCAGCTGATTCAATTCCCACTTTTCTATAGTGCTCCCGGAAAAAGCCCAAGCGACGCTGAAACTCTCGCGTAATGGAAACTGGTGAAAAACTACGTAACTCTCTTCTTTATTTTTCATTTTCCTCGTATATATCAACTGGCATTCTGACGCGGCAATTTTTTTTTTTTTTCAGAAATTCATTCGCGACAAGATGAAACGTTGAAAATATTTTTTTTTGAAAATCGCAAAAAATGATCCGGAAAAAATATTACCCGCGTTAAATTATGTATTTAATTTTGTTTTTTGTTTCATTGAAATTTATTTTTTGTTTCAGGTCAACGGAACTTGCGCAGGTATCCAGTTATGGTGTTTATACACGGAGAGAGTTTTGAGTGGAATAGTGGAAATCCGTATGACGGCAGCGTTTTGACAGCATATGGGAACGTGCTGTTTGTCACCATAAACTTTCGCCTGGGGATTCTAGGTGGGAAATTATATCCTGTTATTTTTACCAAAAGTTCATTTTTAACTATTAAAATGATGCGGGGAAACATTTTGCTCTATCTAGGAAAATATAACGGATGATACCACTGTCCTGTGCATCGTATACATAGAAACAGCTGCGAACTATACGACTATAAACTCAAATAAGAATTTACGATATGCACTCAAATGGCAGTTCAATGTTTTAAATTAATCGGTAATTTAACTTTATTAACATTCACGTCAGCCGATTCCTTTCTGATCAATCTAATTGAAATTCTTTTTCTATAACATCGATCTTGTACAGACGACAGTTGTACGTACAAAGTGAACGACGTAGGAATAAAAAATATTACAAAGATAAAATTTTACAAAAAAAAAAAATTGTTTTCTAACATTTTCAAATTATCATACATTGAACTCACCTTTTTACATCTTTCCATTGCCTGTTCGATTTCCCGTAAAACGACCGACGTTTACGATTCTTCACTCAATCATAAAATTTACAAAGCTTTGAATATCGCATTCTGATTCGAGCTTCGCGAATTGAAAGGGCCCTTAAAAAGCTCCCTCGCGAATTGTGCAAAATTAGGGACCCCAGCGAAAATCCCCAATCGCGGTTTAGCGGCTGACCCAAATCCTTCTTTTTCATTCACTCGGTATACCACCTTCCTAAAAGTCCAGGCAAAACGACCAACATGGCGTATACGCGATATGCAAGCTTTTAGTGCAATTTTTCACTATCACCGGCAATTCGTAATTTTCCATTGTCATTGAACGCGCATTGCTGCTGATCCAATCGAGCCGCACATTTAGATATAGATTCTTGGATGCGCATGCAGACTGAAAAAATATTTTAAATAAAAATGTGCAGATCAATACCAGTCGGTACGAAATATAAATATACTGTATATTTTATTACATGTCGATCAAAAGAAAATTTTATACCCCGCGATACTAAGAATAAAAATGCTAATTCTCTACAAAAAAATTATACGTAACGAATAGATATAGAAAAGAATTTATTCGTCGCCAGTTTCTCATTTGTTATGTATATTAAATGTCTGTTCTATTATACAAGGCGACAGAGCACCACAGGTTGACTATAGTAATTTGCAAATTCCACATATGTATATTCGACTCGGGAATGGCCACAAGTTATGTCGGTGGTTAGAAAAAAAAAAAAAAAAAAAAAAAA